CGCGTCTGACCCTCACAGTGCCTGTTCGTATAATTAGCGGACCGGAAGCGCGATATCCCGGATGTTGGCTGACTATTACGGCAGCGATGTTTTGCTGTATATGATAACAATGGTGGTAATAATTATGATAACAATAGAGAAATTGGGGGATAAACATATAATGAAAAATAATAATAATAATACAGTAATAATAATAATAATAATAATAATAATAATAATAATAGTAATGTAAAGTTAATAATGTTAAAATAATGTTATTTGATAGATTAACAGGTACTGTCAACTACAAAAGTATTAATGTCTTTCCTTCTTAACAACTAACCCCAAGATTAAGACTCGTGAATCCGAAGCATTTATGAACAGAATAACGCAAAAGTTTCTACTGCTTCGGGTTCACGAGTCTGAATCTCGGGGATCATGGAACAGTAGAATAGATGACAGGACTTTTGTGGGTGACTGTGCTGTACAGAGTCATAAAACACATTACTCCAAACGTTTTACATTCAACTTACTGTACGTGTTGCCTGAAGTAAGTGATATGTCCACAGGATGAAATCACTGGAAGTCTATCTAACATTACGTAACATTTAATGCCCATACGTTTGCTTGAACATTATTATCTAGTTCTATTTTATACAATACATTATTAATGGTAAATCATAAGATACCAAGTATTAGTAATAGGTTCAAGTAACTTCTAAAAGTAAACGATGGAAACTATCTCTACTTTCATTACGTTTGTTAGCCACTGCTCACGTAGTCACACAACACACCACTGTAATATTCTCGTCATTGGTTAATGTTTGACTTGCTTCACCCACCTTGAGGTTTCGTGAAGACTATAGGGAAGGTCGTAGCTTATCTCCTGTCCGTTCACCTGGGTAAAGACTCACCTAGTTATATAACGTAATAAATTATCATAAAAATCTTCACACATTAATAATTACCTCTAATCCACGACCACTTCCTAAGGATCTGTAGTAAATAAACTTAAATAAGTCGAAATTATTTTGAAGATTGACAAAGTGATGAGATGAAATTCAGGTACAGCATCCTACTTTCACCTGTAAGGTGTCGTAATGATGATGCTGTAACCATGTATTGTGATGCATTAAGAAGGCTGTAACACCATCGCTGTCACTATGAACCGGTCTAATTTGTTGCAGGTGACGCAATGACCTCAAGGGTGGCGCCCTTCCTGGTCTTACCTCTACGTGTCATGGTCACATTGACTGCTAGTCTGTTTTAAAACTGAGGATTCTTATATACTCCACGACCACAAAACATGAGTGGGTAACTGGCTAGCTACCCCTAGGAAGAAACGCGCTTTTCCCTCTCAATGTTTACACCAGGATCCCTCCCAGTACAGTGGGTGGATTATTTTGAACACCCACGGCTGCCCGGAGTCGGTGGCTACCTAGCAGTGAGCGATATAGGGATGATGTCGTTGATTCGGCCTGATAATCTGCAAATCAACATCGTGGGGCTGGACCCCAGACCCGCCACGTGTCAGAGTACAACCGACCACAACAACGGTCGTCAGTTGCGAGCCACCAGTGTCCAACCCTGGGACGCTCCTGGAGGTTATATGGTCCACAGTGTGTGTTGTATTTGTTTGGGGGATAATTCTGGAATTTAATTATCCCATGTTGGGTAGTGAACCCAGGTAAGTTGTTGGTTTCAGTAATAACGTGTTGTGTATTGTGAGTGCATCTCATATGCACTACCAACAGTCTGTGAAGGTATCATATGTAAGTTTGTCTTATAACTGGATATAATGAAATGTACCTAGTAATGTGTGAGAAGTAAAGTTGTCCACTTGGGACTAACTGAGTAGAGCCACGGAGTTGATCCTGGTAACTAATGTAATGTAACACCAGTAAGGTTGTGAGTAATAAGAGTACAGTATCTGAGTAAATTGCAGTTGAGTAAAGCCGAGGAGTTTCACCTTGGAGTTGCATGTTAATGATATCTTTTTCCCTACTTTGATTTCATATTAATAAACCTTTTCTAGAGTACATTAGGGGTATTCATTTTCCCGCAGTAGTTCACCTTTATTTCTGTCCAAGTGACCCTGATATCAGAATTACAATACCCATGTGCCTTAGACCCTCGCCATGCTACCAAAGAACTATGGTTATGTAGTAACCATTGAACAGAAATATGTAGACAGAACAATTGAAGGAAATAAGAAAGAGAGAAGTATGAGTAAGACAAGGGGGGGCAGCTTGTGTTAAGAGATAACCCCCCCCCCCTTACATACGTGACCTGACCTAAGACAAGTATCACACACGTCCATCATCAACAGCTTAACTACTGCCCAAAGTAAGTTGAATTATTAGTTGGTTCATAAATAGATAATTGTGGGATTTTTTTCCTGAGTTTGTTTTTTGTTATGTGAAGGTTAAATACGCCACTAATGCAAGCTTGACGTTTGGGATTACATGAAGATTACACACCCCAGCTTATTTAATTTGATGATTAAGCACCCAACGCTATTTGTGGGGCTTTTGTTAGGTTAGGTTATAATAGGTTAGTTTATATTTGGTTAGGTTATATTATGTTAGGTTATGTTAGGTATGGTTATATTAGGTTAAGCTAGGTTAGCGTTTGGGTGTTTAATCATCAGATGAAATCGGCTGGGGTGTCCAATCTTCAGGTCACCAGTCATTTGTGTTCCATTTCTTAGGTTACGTATTATGTTATAGTACATCCTCCTAGTCGGTTCCTAAGGCACTTAAGTTCCTCTCAGTGAGTTGTGCTATTGTTTACATTATTTTGTTTGTTATATAAAGGAGGTTTTAGGAAAGATGTAAATACGTACTAGTTAATACAACGTTGATTCAAGCTACTGAGTGTGTGTGTGTGTGTGTGTGTGTGTCACCGTCTCCAACAATAGAATGTGAGTCACATTTCAGGAAGTCGTGTTTATCTGGACATAAATATTTAAAAGTGTACGTGGAATGGTTAAATGACACGTACATCAGGAGCACATACACACACACACACACACACACACACATATATATATTTGTTTGTCAGTGGCCCAAGGTTAAAAATGCTTTGAAAACCTTTGATCTTGATGTATGACAGTTATTTTGTGGGTCCCTTTTTTCTGACCTGACCTGTCTAGTCACGTCACCACCCTTCTCTTAAGCTCCTCTACCGTTGTGTTGGTGTGGGGATTAGTGGATGTCATCATTATGACCTGACCTTATGTTTTTAGGTCACCCTGTATATTTAAGCCTCTCTCTGTCCATGTAATCCAGTTGCCTCTGAAGATGTCTTGAATAAAGACAGCTAAGTACTCCGTTGTTTCCATTTTCCCGTGTGATTTTATCGATATATATATATATATATATATATATATATATATATATATATATATATATATATATATATATATATATATATATATATATATATATATATGTAACCGGTCGGAATTACTGGACTTTAATTTCTCACTTGACTTGGGGTTTATTAAAGATTATTAGATGGTAATTGCAGTGGAAGCGCCTCTTTGAGAAAATTCCCGAACCAGCACAAGAACACTTATATCTACTAAACAAAATGAATTGTCCGTGACCCGTGGAAGGATAGCGTCTGTGACTGGGATGAATGAGATACGCACACACACACACACATATATATATATATATATATATATATATATATATATATATATATATATATATATATATATATATATATATATATATATATAATATACACACACAAGTATTTGATGAGACAGTTCCCTTCCGATTTTCAGGTTTGCTGATACGAATAGTATGTTGAAATTGTTCCGAAAAGTTTAAAGTAAATGTAATAGGAATAAAGAGTCTTGTAGCTTAGCATTTTCTATTTATCGAGTGAAAGGTTTGGTAAATAATAGTTGATGGGTGATGGAATTTAGATATAAGTGGAAGAACTATTATTAGTAATTTTTTTCATATCAATAATGTCGCTTTTCAGTATGTAATTTCTCTATTTTTTCTTGGATAGTTTTTATTAATTCATCTCAATATGTTTCATCTAAAGTAATGGGAATCATTGGCAGAAACACCGCCTGCTCCTACAGTCACTCGGACCTCTACAAATACACACACGCACGGTGAGGAATCCGTATCGATCCAAATTGTTGCGCCGTCTAAAAGTCAGACACTTTAAAATTCAAGATCTTTATGGCATTTGAAGGACATATTCTTAATCCCTTGTGTTTCTCTCTGTGCTGAATAAAATCATTTGACGTTAAACCTGGCTAAACCTAAGCATAATTGTAGAAGTTCATAATAATAATTGTACTTACTGAGATAGCCGAGTGGTTAGAATATTGCTACAGGTAAGTACGTAAAAAACGACAGAATCTGAATAACTACAATAAGTAGCGCGGCATAACTGTAGTTGCAATGCGGGTGACGAGAAGCAATGAAACATGGGCCTCCTTCACTCCCTCCGCATACAATCGCAGCAGCTTCCCCCTCCCTCCAGCCCTTCCTGCTGGTTGGATGGGGGCGAGGGGGGTGGGTTGTTTTCCAGTGATCATCATTCTGGTCATCCTTCATACACTTGCCACACTCATCCATCACCAAGTTTCGCCGCCTCCTCCCAACGACCACCGTGTGTGAACAATGTTTCTCGCTTGTTAATTTTTGACGAAGAGTGAAACCCCTTCAATTCGAAACATCAGAGTTGTCAATAATACCCCCTGCTGGCAGGTCTAGCGCTAATGTGTATATTTTTCTTTTAATTTGTTATTCATACAGAAGCTTAACACAGTATAGTGTATGTCTTACAGTGGCGAAATCAACCAAGTTTGCATTCAGTACTGTAATGATAAGTGAAAATATCTATATTTACGCGACTTAAAACATAACATAGTGGTAAGCGCGAAATTATACTGCCACCAAATAATGGGCAGAAGAAACCTCACTATGCGAGTGCGCGAACCTCCCTCCCTCACACAGGCTCCTCAGCTGAGCTCAGTCTTGCTCGGGCAGTGGTTATGTATGGTTGGCTGGTGCGCCGTTCGTTCGTGTTGTATGTGTGCTTATACGTGAATACGTTGAGTCTTCTACACTGCAGGTGTTGAGCTCGTCTTCAGTTGTCCTCTAGGTGAGTGTAGACCTCCACTGTGTTGTCGGTGTTGAGGCCTTGTCTGAATAACACGTAGAACGTTGTTGATGCTGGAAGAAAGAGAGCAAGCCAGGTAAAACGACTGGACTGGAAAAATGAAATGACGTAAATATTAGCTCAGGCTTTGATGTAAGTTAATCTAATGACGTCTGGCTCTCGAAGCACACACTTGATTTATTCCATGTTATATATAAGTGGGAATTGTCTTTGATGTTATTTTCAGTGAGATTTAAACAAACAAACTCAGTCATGTTGACACTTAACTACCGGTACCTGTGATTTTTTTGTCCTGTATAATGTAACCTGTTATGATTATGTGAGTGTAAAGACGGGTTCAATAATAACCGAATTAATCGCTTTGTTCAAGTCTGTGAGGAGTTTACAGTACTTGACAATGAATTTAAAACCCTCTTGATTTTTGTAAACAAAATTTTTGTTTCCCAAGTAGGGCATTTACGACTCTCTTCTTTAAAGTGACTTGCTCATAAACACAAGTGGTTTGTAGTATAGATTATGGAATAATAAGTAATGGTAGTCAAATTTTCTCTTACTGACAATAAATTGTTTTCATAATTTTATGGGGTAAATATTTCATGATTCCAGGCGTGAGAATTTTTATTTTGATCCGTAGGAAATTTTACTTTATTACATCTATTCAAATCTAGGTTGAGTGAGAGAGCAGTGCCTGACTGTGTAAGTGGCCTGACCAGTAGTGAGCGTCCAGGTGGAGAGTGAAAGTGTGTGCATGTCAAGATAGACTGTGCAGTAGTATCTCCCTGACCTGTTAGTGATGGATGGTGCCTAATTATGAAGGTAGAATGAGCAGTAGTTTGTTCCTTTGAGTGATAAGTCGTGTCTGACTCCATATGGAATTACAACTAGTGTCTGAAGGACCACATGGAGTGGCCAGTTCTATGTGATGCTATGTGGAATGATCAAGGGAGCCCGATTGATCAATAGTGTCCTTTTCCCCAGTATTCTGTATCAATATTCAGGTTTAAGATATTGAATTAATGTTTAAACTTCATTTATACCCAAAGTAGTTTTTGCGTGGTGATTTGTGAAGAAATTTGTCAAATTAGCCCCCTCAGATTAACAATATTGCCAGTAAATAATTTGAAATTGCATTATGTTCAAGTGATGAATGTGCTCTGTACAGTCGTGTGCGTGGTGTAGTTTAGCGTGTTGCTCTGCCATTGACTTGTTATTGTCCCCAAACGCAGCCGATTTTTTTTTGCAGCTGGATGCTAGGATTTGTTATGATAGATTCCTGCTCATTTGGTTTGACAGAATGTTTAATTATCTTGGTGGATATAAGAGTTTCACGGAACTTAGAATGTTGTAAATGACTGTGTAGTGAGACACGTTCACAATTTTTTTTCTGTTGGGACCAAATTGGTGACTACGCCTGATTTTCTCAATTTCCTCGGTAAAGAGTGGAGTTGCATTGGCTCCAGAATTGTTGAGTATTTTCACCGTTTCTGGCGGAAGTGTAAATATCGTGTTTAGATTTCGCAATAACACGTTTGTAAGACTAATGATTGAAACATTTTTGTCAGCACTTTTATAAAAATCAGTCAAACAGAAACTACATTGAGCCAATCCCACATTTTATTAAAGAAGCTTATAAAATTTCATTGCTCTACGTTGCTTGTTTTTTTTTCCAACAAACGTGAATGGGCTGGAATTAAGCATCAAGGGATGGACGGGTTATACTGTTTACGCACGAATTGGGGCAAGAAGAAGAATCATAAGAGTGACTGCATGTGTTGCTTAACGTATTTTGTTTCTCTTTACAAGAACAATTATAATAATAATATAAATAACTTGAGTGAAGCTCCCAGTTGTTTACCCACTCTTAAAGTATGTTACAGCGTGGATGAGTTACATACAGTATTTCTATTAGCTACAAAATAACACTTGTTCTGGTTCTCGTAAAGTTTCCCTGTATGTGGTGGTCACTGGCGGTCGGGCTATGATATACTCTGATATACTCCACGCAGTCTTGCAGTTTCGTGAGTTTGTTGGTTTAAAACAATACTGTATTTATTGAGTGATTATTTTTTTTGTGGGGGGGGGGGATTTTAATTTTACAAGAAAAATGTCTTGCTGGAGATATTTATATAAATCATTCCCATCATTATTCTTTTTATTAAGTCTTATAATATAGAGCAATGTTTTTGACCGCATGAGGCAGAAGAAATAGTACAGTATGTTGTGGGTTCTTTAACACCAGTGGTTTTGGGTCATTATCTTCAAAAGTTGACCAGTTACTATCATCTCGTGGTCCGAAGATGTGTAAAACATGGTCTCCATTTAGTGATTGCTTTGCCTGTCTTAACCAAACTAATTAACCGGATTCTCTGGACTGATCATTACAAGAGTACAGTATATCACACCAGCGTCTTCTCCCGCCTGAAGTGAACCAGAACACTGCTCCTCACTGCTTACAGTGGGTAATGTTGGATAGCAGTGATGGCTTCAGTGATCCTCATTTTTAGGTCATATCTAGTTTTAGTACGTGCCTTGTTCACCTGACTTCAAAGATCCCCCAAGAAAGAAATGTGTCGGGGACAATTCTGGGGCTCGGGGCGTCCACAAAACATTGCCTACCCGGGAGATTATCCTCTCCCCAAACTGTTGATGTCTTAGATGTTGCTACGTAGTATGTTGCCCCATCTTGTTGAAGCCATATGTTCTCAAGCATGTTCTCAAGCACCACGTTTTTATCTCTCAATTATGAACGAGAAAGTTCTGCAACATGACACACTTCAAGCAGTGATGAACGATGTGCTGGTTCACTTCAGGGAGTGCATCAATTGTAATGGACATCATTTATTTTTTGTATATTTTTAAGAAGTAGACTTGTAATAATGTGACTAGAGTACAGTAAAACAAAACACCCATGTTTGTACTTCTCTGTAATTTATTATTAACAATCTTTGTATTATTACACAAGTAATTGTCAGACATATAAATGGGACACCCTGTATGTAACGTGTATATCTCTGACCGTTCCTTCACTAACTTGCACATACCCAACTCAAAAACTAGCCTCACCACCTGCTGTGTAAGTAACCGGCATCTTGCTCCACATACTCTATAACCTGTATTTCCTCCTGTGTAGCTGTAACCTTCGTCTCTCAATGTAGCTGACATTATTGCTCCTACTCAAACCTTTATCTTTGTATAACTATTTTTCCCATTCAGAGACCTGTATCTGCCATCTTCTGCTCTCTCTAACCTTTCTTCCGTACTCAGAAACCTGTATCTCTCATCATCTGCTCTCTGTACAGTCTCTTCCTAACTCAGAAACCTGTATTTCTCGGCCCGCATCTCCCCAGGTCAAAAACAAAACTTGTCTGTCTCCACGCAGCTACACGGAAATCTGTCTCTCTCAAACTCTGGTCTCCTGATTACTCCTTAAGACACATTTCTCTCACTGCTCACTGTACTGTCATGGTGAAGCTATTGTAGCTGGAGTGAAAGAGACGAATTCTTGGCACGTATACATCATGTAATCACCAAGCGGAACTCTATTTTTTTTTTACCCCTACTAGAAAATCTACAGTATTTTTGGTTAGGTTGCGATGCTCTATTTTTTCTTATGTAATATCTGGCCAAGGAAAATATTTCAAGAGGATAGTTTGTGGTGGTTGAAACACAATGTTGACTCGAGACCAATTAATAGTCTAGACAGTATAAGCCCTTCATCGGTCTACGAGGGCATCTGGGAGGGCTCATGATTTCTCGATTGAAATTTTATCCTGTAGAACCTCTGCCCTAGGAAGCAAGCACTGAACTGTCGTTCACAAGTGTTTTCTTCTTTGTAACAAACTCCCTCAGTTCAATCATTCTGCATTAAATTATCATCAGTCTTTAACAATAGGACGCCTTGGTAAATAGATTTGAGAACGACACTTGTCTGATCTCTTCCTGCATATTTTTATGTTAGAAGCAGTAATTGAGAGTGAAACCCCTTCCAGTATAGTATTGGGACGCGCCCTCAGCATTAGCTCATTGTTAGTTTGATTCTGAAATTCGTTTGATTGTCTCATTAGGACTGTGGGAGTGGTGACGGTGTATAGCAGCAGTCAAATGAAAAAGTTCATTCAGATGTATTAGTGGAGAGTATACTCGTTCTGTACCTACAATAACCTTCAGGCGGTGGCTGTTATAGTGTTATAATGTAGCCGAGAGAGTTTGTTTAAATGCATTAGTTGTAAATACATTAGCATATTACATGTTTAGGTTAGGAGACACAATAAATTTTCCCACGTAGACGGGGTAATATAGACTGTACCATAACAGATTAGGAAAATATAAGAAATATCTGATATATAAAAGATCTAAGTATAAAGGTACAGTTGTGTCTTGTGGAAGTAGCTACTAGGATCACCAGTATTTCAACAGGTTCATAAAGTTTGTACTGACATATCTTTACATACACAGTTATATAGTACGAGCAAAGTGATAATGTACCCAATCCATGTCACTCGAAGGTCGCGCTCAAAACAGACAAAGGATTTTGACAACCTAAAACTTACTCAACCAGATTATTTAGGTACAGTACAATAATTCCCGTGTGTTAACGGCATTATAAAAGTCGTTCCTTACTCTTCTTGGGGGATACAAACGTGCCTATAAAACCTTACTGAACACCAAACCTCTCGTTGGACGAATCATTGTTTTGGTAATTGTTGATGACTGCATTATTGATTACCTTTTCATTGATTAATATGCAAATGAATACATTGTTAACGATTACTCTGCATCATTTAGTGGTGTTATATGATTGCCTGGCTAAATGGATCACAGTGGAGCCTGAGTGAATACACCACCATTGACTAAGTACTTCGTGTTGTTGAGATTTCTAGGTCAGTGTTTACTCTACATCATATTTTTAGTTATACATTAATTTTCTCTCGGATTTTTGCGACATTAATCTATTTGTGTCGTTTTTTTATACAACACGAATT